ATACGAGCTTTTAGAACGAAATTCGATTAAGCTTTGTTTGGGCCAAATAAACAAATTTTGATATGAAGACCATATGATGGATCAACACTTGCATAAGATGTTATGTTTAGAAAGTTAAAAACTATTCAGGTGAGCTGTCATTTAAATCATATTATTAGACAACATGAAAGTTAGTTTATTTTTTCACCACAGCAGAAGACTCTAGCAATTCAAAGTCAAAGTAGGGAAAAGTGACAAAGATCAAATTTGACCAGTGCAATATAATCTGGTAATATTGCACAGAATGCGTTCAAAAATGATAAACAATATCAATTCCACTTTTATTATTATGCTTTAATTCATTCCATAATTTATAATTGATATCAATGGATAGTGATGATGACATAAGCTGTAGCAAAACATGTGGCTAAAAATTTAAAAAAAAAAGTGCAAATTTATCTCAGCTGTTGCCTCAAAATATTAAAAGTTTTAATTTCGAAATTGCCATTTTGTAGAGCTTCCCAGATTACACAACTTCTGATGCTTCAAATCAAAACACTCAACTGTCTGCGCAAGTTTTAGTTCGTTTTATATATCATTTTAAGCAAATCTTTGCAACGAATATAACAATTATACAAAATTAAGTATGCTTTTCACGACTTCGGACGCCGAACAAAGCATTTTAAGTCTTTAACAAAATTCGGTTGACACCTTAGCCATTTTCAAAAATCCAGGTGGCACTGAATTTGATTGATTAATCGAGCGATATCATGAGCATTTTTCAGAAGACGTCCGGTATGGCATCATCCTAGGTGGATTGTTTTAACATTTTAAAAATTACTGAATGAAACAAGAGATTTTATTTAACGGTATTGTCGTTTCGTAGGATGTGGAACGTACAAGAATATCTGAAGTGATCACGGCTTATGAAGCAGATTATGAATCGAGTAACGTTGAAAACATTTCGCTGCAAAATGGTAGCATGGTGAGTCCTAGTTAATAATAGTTTTGATTACAGAAATTTTTATAGACATTCGTATTGCGAGGTACTTGTAAAAAATTAGTTTTAGATCTATGGAAAATTTACGGATAAAAAATTTGGAACAAATGGTTTGTTGAAGCGCCCAAAATCAGCATCAGAATTCACTGCTACCGGTAAATTCCCCACTGCCAGGGTGTTTAATTGCACGAAAAAGTATTAAGTATCATGGTTTGGAATTTATCACTTGATTAACCAATTCGTTTTGCTCTAAATTTTCAAATTATCATCGTTCCAAAAATCTGCGAAAAAAATTTTTGTGAAGATTTTCAAAAAGTTGTTTTTTGTGTGTGTTCTCAGTGTTTGCTAGCTTATTCATTTCACCTTTCATTTGGGAGATTTTTTTTTTAAAGCCAAAATCTAAACTGTTGGAAAAATTTTAGGACGCAAGTAAGTCTGTAAGTTTGGACCAGTTAAATGCAGTAATGGTGTCGCGTTAAAATCGTTTTCGGAAGCATCTGCAGAGTATAATTGAAAGTCGATTTTATGATAGTTTAACAGAATGCTCATTAAATTGTTCAGTTTCCAGTATCTAAAAATTGCGTACACAAGCTGGCAGTCTTCGAATGTCACAAATTTATGTATGTTGCTAAATTCTCCCTTTTCTTAAAAAGGTATGAAGTTTAGTTATTACTTGTTTCTCCCCTTAAGAAAAAGACAGTTATTCTTGTAAACATCTTCATTTAATTTAAGTCCTAGTGCAGCACTGTTATTGCAGAAACGATCTTATGAATCCCATCAATGCTATTCCAACATGTTTATAAGGAAGAGGAATTATCATCTTCTAGGTTCCTTATAATGCATTGCTAGTAAAAAATGAAATGCGAGGGCAGCATCAATTTACACATCACTCTGGACCGTCATCATCACTATCCATTGATATCAATTATAAATTATGGAATGAATTAAAGCATAATAATAAAAGTGGAATTGATATTGTTTATCATTTTTGAACGCATTCTGTGCAATATTACCAGATTATATTGCACTGGTCAAATTTGATCTTTGTCACTTTTCCCTACTTTGACTTTGAATTGCTAGAGTCTTCTGCTGTGGTGAAAAAATAAACTAACTTTCATGTTGTCTAATAATATGATTTAAATGACAGCTCACCTGAATAGTTTTTAACTTTCTAAACATAACATCTTATGCAAGTGTTGATCCATCATATGGTCTTCATATCAAAATTTGTTTATTTGGCCCAAACAAAGCTTAATCGAATTTCGTTCTAAAAAGCTCGTATAAAAATGATGGTGATATTGTGTGTGCCTGTTTATGTACTCCATTCC